CTACAGTTAAAAGTCCCGCGTTTTGAGTAGTCAGGGCAGCCAGGTTTTTTTGTCGTGAGCCCATCACATCTGGCACTTGAGCGGAACAGGTGGAAACGACTATTGGCATGCAATCCGGAGAACCGAATTAGCGGCTGCACTGTACTCAGTCTACTTTGCACTCGCCATTTTTATTTACTCAGACTCTGGCGCGTAAAAACAAGCGCCTCCACTTCAGACCCTGTGTCCACTTTAGTGAACTCGAGTGCTCAAAGTGGTACTTACTTAGGAGAGGGAGAGAGACTTTTTCCACCGAAAGGTCCTCTCGTCGATGTCTGACTGCGGCCTAGTAGATAATCTCTGAACAATGGTAGCGTCACTGCTAGCACCAGTACTACTACACTTTTTGTGAAGATTGTGGGGATATGAGCCCAGTGCTGACTTTGATCAGCGTCATTTTCTAAATATTAATACAGCCATAAATAGTAACGGAAATCCTATTACTCAGATACACCCCTAATTAGTAGGATTAGAAGTATTAGTAGCAGCGCCAGCCCTAGTTTCCAGAACTCTGGCTTGACAGCTACTGAAGTTGGGTATTTACTCTGAATAGCTCTAACTCACATTCACATTCCATGCTGGGACCAAGGGGATATGAGCAGAATTTATGTAAAATCAAAACTTTAGATAGATACTGTAGTAGGCCTTAATTTTAGTCTATAGATGGCAAACTGCACGACATAAGGGCATGGTAGGACTTTTGCATTACTTTTCAAACGCTCTCAAATGCTAATACCACAGATTGGGAGTACATACCTGGGGCGACTTCCTAAAAAGCACAAACAGGCAGTACTTATGGTATACTATTTACTAGCCTTAACAAGCATGAGAAATAGAAATAAGCACTTTCACTATAGGCACGTACCTATAGCAGCAGTATCTTTGTCCGTACAGCTCGATGGATAGAGTTGAGATCACGGAAACCAAGGCAAATGCTCTTGTGTTCAGGGCCCCAAGCATGTACTTACTCGAAATTGTTTGAACCCAGATTCACAGTCCTTGTTGAGACCAAGGCGGTGTGAGCCCCGGCTGTAACTTCAAACTAGCGTCACTTCTGACAAATGTTAGCGTCAGAGATAGTACTGATACTACTAAGACTCGGCTACATTGATAGTCAGTAGTAGTAGAAATAGTAGTAGCCGTATCAGCCTTGGCCTTCTTGGGCCTGTCTTCAGACCTGCTATGGGTGAGTGAGGGTAGATAGTACATCAGTACCCGCGCAAAGTCTACTGTCACTTAATACTAAGTTAGGCGGTATTTTGGCTTGCATTGGAGAAAGCAGCTTACGCCGGACCCCGTTTAGTCTTCGAGACTCCGACCGAAGGGGAAGAGTGCAGTTGACGCTAACTACGCCCGCTATGACTTTAAATCTACCCCCTGAGACCATCACCTTCTGTACCAAACTGTTGGTGCAATTTGTGGACTTAATCGAAATCGGCGGTCGAACGCGTACATACAGGTGTAATCATCTCCCTGACTGGTGTGCAGTCCGTGAAATTCAAGCTCGCACGATGCTAAGCTTAGCAAGACATTGCGTGCTTTCTCTAGCTTCTAAGGAGTAGCGGTCTTACGCCCCAGAGCAAGCATGTTACGATTGACCAGAATGCACACACGCACATACACACACTAAGTCGAAGCTGTTTTTAATCACTAACTCGAGTTATTTTTAAAGTGCGCGCTTTTAAAACTCCATGCTTTTTCCTTCTCTCTTTAGTTCTGCGAACGCTGCAAGAAACACGCAAAGACTCAGCTTCAAATCCTGTTCTCAGACCTCCCGGAAATTCTCATACTTCGTATCCTTTTGAAAGCCCCACCAATTTTGTGTTCTGCTAAACAAGCCGTGTTTCGTGGTATTTCAGCTGGATATGCTTCTATTTTACATCAACAACAAAATAACTCTTAAAGTAGACTATGACAAGAAACAAGCCCACACAATTATTAGTATATACCTAGTAAACGGATGTTGGCGAACAGCTGACCTCTGCCCCTTGAGATCGTCTAGTAATGAATGTTCCATCGTTTAATGGGTAAAAAACACTTAATTGAGAATTTCGTTTATCCTTAAATTGCTCAACACTTACGAACTTTGGTAGATTATTAGCTCGGAATGTTGTTCTGATGGGGTTCGTTAGCGTGGACATCCTTTATGGGCTCCATTTCTAGCCTTGCTTTTTATGGACCGTAAGGTGCTTATTCAAAGTTAAGTGCCCAACAGCAGAGAGCGTGACACTGATTGACGCTCTTCAAAGGCGAGCACTCAAAGTCGGAAACTGTATCAGCGATGCAGGACAGCGAACTGTTTCAAGCTAGTCACTATTTCTGGAGAGAAATTGGGGCTTCGAGATTGAAACTAAACCGCACTGGCATCAAACTGTCCCGCTAGGTTACCGCGGCTTGCTTGGTCACTGAAGAGGGGTTTTGCTATCCGAGCTCTCTACCATTGTCGTAAACGCACTATTTTAAGAGCAACCGTGCTCCATTTTATCCTTAACTAACTCCCTTGTGTAGAATTCCTACGCTTCGACTCCTCCAATTCTCACAATAAACGGCGGAATCTCATCGACTTCGATTTCGAGTTGGACTTGGCAAAATACACCACAAAAGGTATGTTCTCCATTCTTTGAAGTCTTAATATTTCCTTACTTTTGCTAATGCTTTTAGAAATACAAATTCTTTTTTTTCTACAAAAATTGAATTGCTGATCGCATATGCTAACCGTGTTTGTAACTTTGAAAAAGATCTGCCGAAACACGCGTTAATTATAAAGGTCTGACAGTCATTTGGTCGAGCGTAGATTGATTGCTTAGGAGATCCTGCCCGGGCAGTCAGCTTACCGTTTAAAAACTGACGGATCACATATGGTGCCAAGGGTTGGGCGGCGTAGCTTGATTCAAATGTGATTCAAGTCCCGGCTCCCAGTGGGGCCTCGTACTTCTGGTGGTCAAAGCTTCGGTAGTACTCAGGTCGTGCTGTATAGTGGAGCAATCATGCAGGCTTCCGGGTATATTCATCGACATTTTCAGTTCAACGGATTCTCTAGAAACAAAATAAGTCCATCTCCATCATTCTGAACATTACTATAGCAAATGTTGTTCCCCCCTCCACCAAACGGACCCCTTTCCGCAATTTATTCAGCTAGGCAGAGCATGCCATTGGGCGCATGTCCAAGCTAGTCTATCTAATCGCTTAACGAGGCTCTGTTTGCAAGAGCCACCTCGACTTGGGCTACCCATTTCGTCCACAACTCCCCGGGGTTTGCCCGTAAGGACTACGTTCGGGTTTTTATACTAGGAGAGGTCCAACCTGAGTCGCTTATTAGCGCTGCATAACGTCTTCGCAACGCACACTGAACGATTCAGACTTATGTCAGGGTAACCGTAGTCTATAGTGCTTTACCTGTCCCTCCGCTGTGTGGACCTTCCTGCGTGCTGACGACAGTGAAGCTTAAGTCGTTCCCGCCTGTGTCACCGCCAGCCAATCATACCCACCCACAAGTGGTTTACACCTCGACACTCGAACTCGCGAACTTTTCAATCTGAGTCTAACACTCTAAACATTGAGCCGCGAGCTATTTTGTCTGGCCAGATTTGGTCGGAAGATATTGACAGTCGTTGATGAATGTTTACCGACCGTTAACGGAATTCGCTTGACCCGTTGCGTCTTGGGTCCCATTTCCCGGGTCATCTACCTAGCCTGAGAAATGAGGGCCAAAATACAGGACAGCGTGACTTCTGTTAGCGGTCGGTGAACTTCCATCAGCAAGGGTTG